TGTCACATCCTGTCAAAATTGCTGTGCTCATGCATGTTAGCTTGCCAAGTTAATAAATCCTTAAGCTAGTGTGGTCCTGATCTTTCATTTCACAACACAGATAAAACTGTGAAACTCTAAAAATCAACATGGATATTTTTTTGATAAATTATGTCCAATTTATTTAAATGCTTTTTATGATCAGAGCTAATTTTTTTATTGTGGGGGCAAAACATATATTGCAATGCAATACAATTATGAAACTGATAGATTTACAAAACCTCAAAAGTCTGATGTATGATACTCACATTTTAACTTGATTTTTGTAAAAGCAATATATGGATAATCAAGTAAACCTACACTGTAATAAGTGGTAACTTGCTGTTGTTGCTTTTGCATTTTACATAATTTCACAATGTTGGTATAAAGGAATGTATTTAGGTTAATTAATTTGTGCTAAAGAACATTAAAACATTTTTGTGTATGTAGCTGTTATTGTAATCATTAAAGATTTCAAAGCAAGAAGACATGTGCACCACAACCTAAAAGGGAATGTTTTTAGAATTATACTAAAAGGCCTTCTACTTGCTAAAAAAGTATAAACTATCAATCAGAGGACAGAACACATGTAGACTGTACAACAGGGTTTGGGTTTGATTTTCTGTGTTCAGAAAAGTTTTGATTGTTTTTAATTTAGAGGCCTTAGAAATTTGTACAGTATATCAAATATGATAGGATTTATAGGGTTAAGAGTAGGGTACTGTTAGTACTGTAGTAGTACTGTTTCCAAACACTCTGTTCACAGACCATTAAGCAGTGTGCATGTGACTGAATCACTTTCTGTCTTTCTCTAATTCAGTAACTCTCACTGCAGATGGCCTAGTGTTGCTTCACAACTGCTCACAGAGACCCGATTGTTCCCAAGCAACATCATGTTTATTTGTTGGTCAGATCGAATTCAGAACGAGGCTGTACATAGTGGCAGTTTCAAAAAATGATCCGTGTGGAAAGACTGAGGCCTGTGTCAATGTCATCACAATGCAGACTGACCGAATGCATCATGGATGCAGCATGTGCACTTCCTCAAGTCCTTCACTAGCAATTCTCCTCAGCTGTAACATGAACAGAAGCAGTAAGGGGCAGTAAAAAATAAAATCAATTACACACTTTCAAGAAACTATCTGGCACTTAAATGTTGCTTGCAAAAACTGCTGTCAAAAAAACTGATTATATATATATATATATATATATATATATATATATATGGTGTATATATACTGTATATACAGCAGTTTAAAAGAGTGTGATATTTATTTCATTCATTTTGGTGTTTGAGAACTTTGAGAACAAAACTCATTCAAACAGCTCTTGTTTTACTTATTGCTCGACTTATTTACCACCAAATGCAGGAAATACCATTACATTGACATGACAGAGAAACCTTTAGGCAATGACGTGTACATCTTTGAACAAGGAGGGAGAACTTAAGTGGGAAAATCACAATGAAAAAAAAATTATGGATGTCTAATGAACTTTAACTGGGAGTTATACGGTGACTGAGAAGTGCAGAACAAATCACAATTCTGAAAACAAAATAACAACTTACAAACGCAAATGCAAGTCTAAAAAACAAAATAACAATTCAGAAAGCACAACAACAATTCAGAAATCATTATAACAAGTCAGAAAACACAACGACAAATCAGAAAACAAAATAACAAGTCAGAAAACACAACAACAAATCAGAAAACAAATTAACAAATCAGAAAACACAAGGACAAATCAGACAAACCGGAAGAGGTAGGTATAGTTTGAGAAAGCGCCATTGGTTTGGGATTACTCACCGCTGACTGGACAAGACATCTGTCAATCAACGTATACAGGAAGAACCAGCCGAAGAACAGCAGAGTCGTGGTAGAAAGTTCGGAGATGGTATTAAAGTAGCTCAGTTTAAATGTATTGTATGAATTGCCCTTAAGCTGGAGTAAAAAATACGGAGTGTATATTTAGATTTAGTTAAAAGTGACTGTAGTACATCAGTTCCAGTGGTGCAGATGGGTAAGCGCTTGACCTTGGCTTTTTGACGCGATCGACCCAGGTTCGATCCCACCTTTTGCCGAACTTTTTTTCCCTCCCTTTTCAAATCTCGTATCACATCGTAAAGGCATTTATTTTCAATAAAAATTAAGGAAATAATCAAAAAGTTGAAAATAAAGTATCGGGTAGGGTTAGGGTAGGTGTAGGGAGGGCTTTATTGTACCAATAAGGTGGCATCCATTTAATAATTTAAATTTAAATTATAATTTACACTCAATACGTTATTATTGCATACTGTTTTATAATGTACTACAATACTGAAGTGCAGATAATTGCCACTATTTGCAACAAGTAGTATACTTGATATTAGAAATCCTGCTATTTTAACATAGTGTAAATAGGTATTTGCACTTAGTGTAAATAGCATATTGCTAAAAATACTGCTATTTTCACTTAGTGTAAATAGAATCCATTGCTAATACGAGATTTGAAAAGGGAGGGAAAAAAAGCTCGGCAAAAGGTGGGATCGAACCCGGGTCGATCGCATCAAAAAAAATCAGTGACACGCGCTTATCCATCTGCACCACTGGAGCTGATGTTCCACAACCACTTTTTACTAAATGTAAATATACTCCCTGTATTTTTTATTCCATAGTAAGGGCAATTCATACAATACATTTAAACTGAGCTACTTTAATACCATCCCCGAACTTTCTACCACGACTCTGCTGTTCTTCGGCTGGTTCTTCCTGTATACGTTGATTGACAGATGTCTCGTCCAGTCAGCGGTGAGTAATCCCAAACCAATGGCACTGTCTCAAACTTGATTTGTCGTTGTGTTTTCTGACTTGTTATTTTGTTTTCTCCTGCACCACTGGAGCTGATGAGTTACAGCCACTTTTTACTAAATGTAAATATACTCCCTGTATTTTTTATTCCATAGTAAGGGCAATTCATACAATACATTTAAACTGAGCTACTTTAATACCATCCCCGAACTTTCTACCACGGCTCTTCTTCGGCTGGTTCTTCCCTGTATACGTTGATTGACAGATGTCTCGTCCAGTCAGCGGTGAGTAATCCCAAACCAATGGCACTGTCTCAAACTTGATTTGTCGTTGTGTTTTCTGACTTGTTATTTTGTTTTCGAATTTGTCATTGTGTTTTCTGACTTGTTATACTGTTTTCTGAATTGTTGTTGTGCTTTCTGATTTGTTATTTTGTTTTTTAGACTTGCATTTGCGTTTGTAATTTGTTCTTTTGTTTTCAGAATTGTGATTTGTTCTGCACTTCTCAGTCACCGTAGAGTTAACTGAAATGTCAGAAACACTCATGAACAAAACAATGTTCATGAGTGTTTCTCATGAACATTGAGAACCCCCCCCCCATATAATGCAAAACAGTGCTACTGAGAAAGAGAGCCACCCACCTAACTTTTTTCTCTTGACCATGGCATGCACAAAATCTTATCTCAACAGATTTGATGGATGGCTTTGTTCTTAATTTTGTCATTTCATCTGAATATCAATATTAGTTTGAATTAATCAAAACAGTTTTGAGGATAAATCTAATTTGTTGTCTCTATAAATTGGGATCTGTGACATTGTATGATGTTGAAAATATAAATTTTTGGTGTCTATTTGTCAGTGAGAGATTTTTGGATACATTTAATGTTTTTAGATTTGTAGAGTAAAAAAATTGCACAGAAGGCATGTTGTTACTAGTGTTATTTTTATTATTATTTTGTTTTGCTTTATTTTATTTTATTTTAAAACTAAATACTTTAATAATTATTTTAATTCATGGGTGTTACTACATATTCAGTAATTCCATAGGTTTCATACATTACAAAAATCAAAACATATAGGCTTACTGAGTGAAATCATTCAAATTGAATTCACATTGTTGATATTATGACATATCTTCACTTAAAGTGAATTTAAATGATAATGAATGCATAAGTCAAATAAATAAGTAGAATAAATTTACTAAAGTTACTAAATTGTCAGTAGGTTACACACAAGTAATAAGTGATATCAAAAGTCACTTATACATTCTGTAAAAGTTTAGTGCACCCCTTTAATTTTACATTTTGTGCTATTACAATTAAATGAGCAAATATTTCTCTCAATAACACATTGGCTAATAGATCATCATCCTGTGCATGATAAACTTATAATTTACAATTAAAAAGTAAATGCACATCATTCTTAAGGCATCTTCCCTATGATTTTAAACAGCTGCAGTTACCGTATGTAAAGCTTCTATTTTAGGTATGAACTACATTGGATAGTGTCGCCTCTATCCAATGGTCTAGTAAGTGATCATGTAGGCCTATTTCAGTTTGTAATAAATCATGTACTGGTTTTACTACTCTCACTGACATAAAAGAACAGCATACAACAACCAAACAAAGCGCAACACTTAAATTTAAAAAATGCTAAACCTGCTTGCTGCGGTCTTGACGTTTTAAGGCCTTGTTTTTATAGTTTACAGCAATGCGGGGAAACGGCAGTAGCTAAGCAGGACGAAATATTGGTCAGAATAGATGCAGTACATCCCTGGAATTCCCCGTCCTTTATACAGTTCAGATGTAATATTGTGTGCAGCTAATCAAACACTTGAGAGGGAAAAAAAAAACTTCAGATAAAAAAGTAGCCTATGAATGTAAAAGTAACCTAAATGTATATTTTATTATGAGTGATGTTGCTCAAAGTAGGGGTGGCATACTGGACTGACTTTATGACTAAATTAAGAAATATTTATGCAGTGTAATCAATAATGTTTAGAACAACTTATTTATAAATCTAGTTCAGTTTTGGGATGCTGAGTGAGTCATCATTATTAGCTATAGCATCTTTAATACCAGTTTTTAAAACATTAACAGACTCTCTCCCTACTGCCTTGTGTCATTGTAGCTTCTAGTCTTCCTGGATCAGCTGTTTGAGTGCGCATGCGCAGTTCATAGACTACTGCAGAGCACGGTTTACCATGACGTTCATTACAGAGGCAAGTCCGAACAAATGTCTCCCTACGCGTAATAAATTATATGACACAGCAGCCTTATAAAGGAGTCGATTTAACGTACTTACTCAGCTCAGAGTATCCTTTTTCGTCTGGAGACAGAGAAAATTTAAATGCAATGTGAACTGATCATTTTCGCAGTAACCAGTATGATTCCTTAATGCTTCTACCTGTCAAAGCGAAATCCTTCAGTGGACTGATAATGAAAATGATGCATGCCGAGGATGAACTGACCAAAGCAGCCGCGACTGGAAACACTTACCATGTTCAGTTTTTACTATCTAACGGAGTGAATGTGAACGGTGTTAACAAATTCGGAAGAACACCTATACAGGTAAGTTTAAGACACGTCTTAAGAATAAATGAACTATTATAAAAATGCAAACATAAGACGTAGAGACGTACAAATATTAAATACAAAAAATACAAAGGCACTTAAAGGAAATATTGTACGAAAGTTCAAGTTATTTTATAATATGGTAATAGGCCTATAACTTAATATAGCCTAACTTTAGAATTTTGTTTAATTCTATCTTACACTCGGTTTAATAGGATTTCATTTCTATTTATATAGCCTATATATTTTTATAGCCTATTTACTTGAATTTAATATTTACGTTGTCTTTACAGAGTAGGCTAGTGAGACTAATTGGAAACATTTTCGGCATATTTAGACTATAATGCAATTCTAATAACTATGAAAAAAATCTATGTTTAATATTATTAATTTCCATAATGTATTAGAACATTATTAATATTTCAATACAGTATGTATCTTATAGGTGCAGTTATCTGGAGGTATTGAAGGCTAAAACATTTTTCTTGTTTTACAAAAAAAGCACTAGTAAATGGCCTGACACGTTTAGCACCGTAGAAAAAATATATATCTTTGTTTTATTTGTCTTAAATGTAATAGTTATAGTTGTGATGTTTTAACCAAAGGACAGCACATTCTCACAAAAAAAGAAAAAGATATAAAATCATGTAGCTACTTTAAAATAAGAAATTAATCCTATTCTATTAATTGTAGGCTACTTTAAAAGTAGGTCCTATGTGCGTTTCATACTGTGGAGTGTTTCATTGTCGCATTTTAGGCTATTTCATAAATCTCCATTACAGTTTATCCTATTCCTAAATTGTGTAAATGTATGTCAAAAGAGTTCTGTACTACCAGATCGGTTGTAAATAATAGAAAACACTGCCGTTTAATATTTTGCCATGAATTTATTGTATTATTATTAAAAAAATTAGGCTATCCCACATCAACATTCACCACCCTGTCTCAGTGAGATGGCAAATATTATAAACCAGATTAGCCTAAAACTCAAACTTTTTGTCCTGCTGTCACTTCAAGAGGGTGGTGGTCATGTTTGAAAGCGATTTCACCTCGTAGCTAATTTCTAGTCTGTTCTAATGATGGTGTTACAACTCAATGTTGTGATGCTCCCCATTCTGCGCAGGATTTAAAAAATGGAGAGGCAAAATAAAGTGCCTGCGGAGACGATGTAATAGTTTAGCAAGCTTAAAACGAACATACACAAAGACTGCAAAAATTCAGAGACTGTGATTGATTGATTAGACATAGGCCATACAGTTTTCGGGCTAATTGGTAAGATAGGCTAAGTGAAACATTTTAATCTTTTTAATTTGAACGAAATGTGTTTAAGATAGGCCTATCACAAAGTGGACATACTCAAATGATACACACTTATCTAAAAACAATATTAAGTAATGATAAAAATAAATGTTACAACATGAGCAGTTAAATTATTGTTGCTGAACTGCTATTGTCCTAATAGCCTGCACTATGCACTAGCTAAATTGTTCTTACCGAACGAAAGAAAATCTTTCTCAGTGATTCAAATAATGACATTTAAAGTATGAAATGCAGTCAGCATTTTTGTTTGTTTATTTATTATTTTAAATAGAAAGGAACAATTAAAACATTGCTGACAACATTGCACGTGTTTTTTTTTACCCCCGCAGGTGATGATGATGGGTAACACACTTTTGGCTCACCTGCTGCTGGAATATGGAGCAGATCCTAATGTGCCTGATCCCGGGACAGGAAGCACTCCTTTGCACGATGCTGCCAGAAGCGGATTCATGGACACCGTGCGGCTTTTAATTCGCTTCAACGCCGATCCCAATGCAACAGATCACAGCAATTTACGACCTGTGGATGTGGCACGGCAGACTGGCCATATGGACGTGGCTGAATTTCTCAGTCGTATTTAAACGCTAAAGTTCTTCTCTCTTTTTTTTTGGTAACTACATATTTATCACATAATATGACTGGTTTAAAAAATAACGGAATGAGCGCAGCAGTTATGCACTTTCATTGTTTAGTACATATTTGTAGGCTAATAATAATTTACAATATTGTTTGTGGATGTTTATGCTGTTTGGAGTATTAAACATTTTAAGTATTTGTATTCCTGTGAGAATTTAGGGTTCACAGTTGTTCATTTTTAATATGCCTTCATGCAGCATCACTATCAAAAACTACAGGAAAAAAAACTAACTTTAAGTCTGAAGCATTAATGATAATATCACCCTAGTAAAAGTGTATATCTGGACGCAGCATTACGGTATGTGTATAAAATTCAAACATAATATTTGTTCTTTACTTAGCATGGTGAATGATATGGCTAAGTGGAGTTAAATCGAGGAAAGATAACGAAGTCGTCCGTTTATTGGGTATGCGCTCAAACCAAATAACCTATTCATATGTGGCTTATATTTCTCAGTTCTCTGAGAAAATAAGATATTTTAGATAAGCTTATGATAGGCTAAATAAATGCAACTCTCTATATGCCACCGTGCAATTTATTTTTTCTTTACAACGCATCATTTTGGTTCTTTAATGATCGCCTCGCCAGCTTTGAGTGCAAAATACTGATATTGTGCGGAAAGTAAAGTTTATAATTTTTTTATTTACACAGTTACCTCCTGCATATTGTAACCTGTGAAACCTGAAAGACAACTAAAAGAAAGAAGGAAAACTAAATGTAGCTAATTATTTAATTGAGACAGTTACATTTACCAAAGTGCAAAAGACAAATGGTTATTTGAAGAGAACCTATTAGAGGGTTTATCCCTGAAGAGATTGCTACGTATTAGACCGAATACAACAAGGGGACAGTAAGGTTGGCTGATCGAATCTCACGAAAGGAACAGAAAATAATTAGATCAGAAATCAAAGTTAGACGTCCTCCATTTTAGAAGCAGGAATATTATAAAAGAAACATGATACACGGAGATCTGTTACGATTTCTCGAGGCAAAAACACTGAAGAGAATACAGTATTTATTTCTGACAAGCAAATAAAGTTGACCCATTTTTGTTACAAATATGCATCTGTTCTTCACAAAGAAAAGCAATTGCTCTGGAAAAGCAATGTGCTGCTGACTCAAAATGGAGGGGTTTCATCAATGCACTGAAATGTGGCACAATGAATAATATCCCACACAATTTTCATAGGGAAAAACAGCATATATTTATTTATTTGTGGTTATGAAATACATGTATTTAGTTTTATATCCAACCAAAACATTTATACTTGTGTTATGTCCAGAGCCGTAAGGTTCCGTTGCTGTGTGAATTCTGTGCCTTGTTTTCTCTCTCTCTTCCTCTCTCTCTCGCTCCCCCCAGCAGAACCAGTATCCCCACCTGAGGTTAATTAAGAGCTCTGCTGTGATTGGGTGATGGGAGAGGAAAGCCAGTATTTAAACTACAGCTACATTCAGACCAGTAGTTGCGTGGTGGCGCCTGAGGTTTCGTCCTTAGAAGCCTTAGTTTGGTGATTTGGTGTATCTTTCTCTCAATTGTGTTGAGAGCTTCTGTCCTTTGTCCCATTGATTACATCTATGACTGAGACTTGATCTAAACAGAAGTGAGTGTTAACTTCAGTTGCCCATAATAAATATTGAGTTGTAATTCATGTCTTTTGTTTTGGGTTTAGTAGGAAGGTGGGTGCCATTTTGTTTTGCATTTCTTATTTTCTCCTGTTTATGTTAGTTTAGGGAGTTAGTTTAATCTGTTGTATTTTGTTTTCTTTTCTTTTTGGGTTATAGAAGATAGTTTCATTATGTTTGTTATTTTGGCCTTGCCCCCCTCTGAAGTTAATACCCTTTTGTTATTTCTCTGTTCTCTGTAAATAAAAACCTCTGTTTTTGCTGTATTTGACCGTGATTGTTTGAGTTATTGTAGCCATTCTGGGTCTTGAAACAGCGTTTTCTCTGCCGTGTCTCACCACCAGCCATTTATTTCTGTTGCGGTCTTCCCTAGACTAACTTAGACCGTAACACTTGTATTTTTATTTATCCAAGGTACTTCAAGGTGTAACAACACTACTGCTACTATTAAAAGGCACTGAAAAACAATGTGATAATCAATAGATCCTGTCCTCTGGCAATACTACCATGCATTGCATTTTTAAACACACACCATTTTGAAGAGAAAAATAATAGCCATGTCGGGGTGGATGACAAACCCTTTTTCTTTTATTTAGGTCAATAATGGTAGAAATGTCATGCTTGTTTACAGATACATGATTGCAGCTGTGGACACATCGTGGATGGCTCCTCAACGGCCGGATACTTTAATGTTTGGGCAACATTACTGACGACTGTGACATAAGCTGGGCAACAACATAAACTCAGTATGAAAAACAACATGAAAGCTGAAAACTCAGTATAGATATCACATTTAGCACAAAATACATTACATAATTAAATTATGTAAATTACATATTTTTAATAAATATAACGTAAAGAGCTTTAAACTCACTTTTTGTGCATTTATTGTGCGCTCCCAGTCCATCTGACAGATCTGTGGGATTGCTGTGAGCAGGATGCTGCTAGCTTTATTTGCATTCTCTTTCATGGTTTTCAGAACGTTGTCCACACACACCTAAAATGTAAAAAAAAAAGGAGCAAAGTTTGGTATATGCAGGCTTATAAAAAAATACATGAGAAAAAAAGGCAAATTAAAATTAATGGACCAGCAAGCAATAGATCAACCATTGGGCAGTAAATGCTGAAATGCAGTTTGAACTTAAAATGATCACATTTATTCTTCAAATTAAACTTTACCTCTAAAAACAAACAACATCCTCAAAACAGATATCAGGCTGTTAAGTCTCCGAGTCTCACATTTGCCTGTAGCCTCTCAGATAACACAGATAAGGTTGCCACGAGTCATGAATAACCTGTCACAAGTTAAAACTGAAAATGGAAGACATTTATGTTCAAGCAACAGATGCACTATTGTCTCTAATTAATGCCAGACTTTGTCAGCCATTTAGCTGTCTACAGTTCCATTGTGCATTCACATTTATAGAGGACAATGTCAGGATCTACTGAATCAAGACAGCAACAAGAAAAATCTACATGATCAAGAAAGAAAACTGAACTACAGACTTGTTTTTTTTTATCACCGATGTTTTCCTTTAGAGGAACTGACTCATTGGTTGGCAGCAAAATATGTGTGATTGTCTGTGCATGAGTCAGAGAGAGAATGAGAATACAGGACAGGGACGGAAGGATGTGGTGAAGTGGGGAGTGAAAACTAGAGGTCAGCAGCAGGAACTCGGAAGGAGGGCTCTGAACTGTGAGGGGAAGTAAACATTGCCGCAAACTACCAGCCTAACCGGTCATCCTGCTATCGGAAACAATAATCTGCAGAGAGTTTATTGACTTAAAAATGAATATCCTATAAAAAATCCTTTGTAACACCTTTCTGTTTTTTACTTATGTCCTTTCTTTGAAATGGCATCAAAATATTATGTACAGTTTCAGTCAAAACACATACTGTCTAGTTAGAATGAAAATGAAATGAATGGGGAAAAAACACTTCACTAAATAACAAAGGGCTTTAATGTGGCATTTGTAACCAAGAGACAAATACTTCCATTTATGGGTGGAAAAAATCTATATATAAAAAACAAATTTTTTGAAGTGAGTATTTGCCACAAATATAAGGACCCAAGGTTGTAGATATTAATTAATTCTGCTGCCAAAATGAGTTTTTGCCTTATTTGCCTATTTTTTTTTTTTCTTGAAAGGGCATCAGTCAGGTTAAGCCTAATGCAATTGATTTTGTGAGAAATTGCTAATTTGTTAAATTTCTATTTTATATAGTAAAAATTAATCAATTACACACTATAAAAACACTATATTTAGGCTAAATGCGGCAAGAATATATTTTTAATATTATAGAGTTTAATATTAGACATGAATTGTTACTTTTCTCTCTTTCCTAGAATACTACTTTTCCATTTATCAAAACAACTTTAATCATGATTCCGAGATTCATTGAAAGAAATATTGATGCATGGTCTCTGTAGGCTTGGTAACAAATCTCTATACTGTTCTAGCATGCAATCCTTGTGAATCTGTGTATTTTGGTAGTTTCAGTTCCATGCTGAAAACAAAATGGACTCCAGTTGAAACATTAGGTGCGTCCCAAATTGCGTACTTTAGCATTATTCTAGTGTGAATAGTACTATTATATAAGAAATATACTATTTCTTGTAGCATAAATAGTGCGAGTAGTGCATTCACACTGAAAATTCCAAAAAGAAAAAGTGCACTTTAAAAACCCGGCTGATGCACTTAAAAAAACTGTGAAATGTTGGACACTTCATGCCCTCAACTGTCGCAGCTTTAATTACATAGCGAAGGGGGAGGGGCTATCAGACTCCGATTATAAATGACAAAATAACCTTATATAATTCATACACTACATGGTTGAGTACATAGTGCACAAGTACATAGTGTATAGTGCGTCATTTGGGACGCAGCTACTGTCCATTCACTTAGCTCCGATTGAGGAAAGCTTGTGCTTTTTTCACACACACATTTATGAGTCTCTCTCCTGCACATACATTTTTTTGGTCTGTGTGGGAGTAACATCAATAGCGTGCAGCTGTGCATGCACACAGCTTAGAAAGACTATTGGCATGAACTCAACTGACTTAAAAGACAGACAGACAAACACAAAAAAATGTCAATGCAAGTTTATCTGTAAGGTAATAATATAAGGTTATCTAATTATAAATACTATAACTTAAGCCAAACCCCGACAGAAAACTACATTTTAAAAATAAAAATAAAAAACTTAAAATACAATAAATACAAAAAATAAAAAACACAGGGGTTTGACAAAATTATTGTAGGGGTTAATATCATTTGTGTGCACTACTGTGAAAAAACAAACATGATTATCTTTTATTTATTATCTTTTCATTGTCTAGGTTTGTATATCAGTGTAGTAGTTTAGTACAAGCCATGGCTGAAATGGGTAACTTCTCAGACTTCCAAAAA